CCTCATGTGCCGGCCCTCGAGTGAGCTCAGCCGCCGCTGGTATGCCAGGTCGTGATGTCGTGGTCAAGGCCAGGGGGTGAGGGCTGTAGAGCCAGTAAGAGCCCATGAGTCACGATGCTCAGGCGCCCCCCCTTTAACGCGCAAGCGGCTCGCGTGGGTGAGAGATAGAGAGAGAGCTCGCGAAAGCCTCCCCCAACGCTATTCCTTAGAGGGACCCTGTAAACCAACACGGGGAAAACAAGGACTGCCATTACGATTGCCGGCCAGCCATTGGTTGCTCCGAGGGAGTGATGAGGGCACTGAGGGCCCAATGAGGTAGCGCCTTGCGGGGCTGCCGCGGCCAGAGCTCGACCACTCAGATTTGTCGACGTTGTAGGGACGGACCCATGCGCAAGCGCCGTGCCAGAACGAGCGGCTCCAAAGGTAGGTGTCAATCGAGCAGGCGATTATCACAGGCAGGTTAAGCATGAAAGAGCAAACCAGCTTAGATAGATGCACGAAAGACGCATGCCACTGGGCTAGGCCCGAGCGGCTTGGGGATGATGCAGCCCGAGGGGCGCCCCCAACATGGTATACTAAAGACATGAGCAAAACGGATACATGTCGCGGGGGCGGACCCATGCGACCTAGGAATGATGCGGCCCTGAGGGCGCTCCCAACTGAAATGAAACTCGAAAGATGTCACATGATGCCATTGCAGAGCGAGTGTTGGAGTAGCTGATTACGCGTGGTGAAGAAGCCAATCCTCACGAGCCTTCGGGGTCCTGAGCCTCGAGAGGCTCTGGAGGTCCGGGTGGCTCCTCAAGGTCCATCTCCATCTCCTCCAGGAACGCGCGATGCCTGGCCACATCGTCCCACACGCGAAGGCCAAAACCGCCCTTGAGACGCGACTCGATCGAGCCCTGGGTAGTCGACGCAAACGCGCAGCCCGCCATCCTCGCCTGGATGGGGAGCTAAGCCGGGTAGGCGGCGGTCGCCGCACATGACTCTCAACTCCTGCAGCTCCTGAGAGACTTTGTCGATGAACTCTTGAGGGTTGGGCCCTCCTTGCCTTGTGCCTTCCTGAGGGAAACATGCCTTGAAGCACGCCTCCAAATGGTGCCCGAGCGCCTCCCTCGTGATCTTGGCAAAGTCAGTACCCCTCCAGGAGAGAGACCCCGAGCCTTGCCCGAGGAGGGCATCAGGCGCGCCTTCCTATGCGATGGAAGGAGGTGCCCCTTGGTCGGGCGCGGATCCTGGTGCGGTGCCACCGGAGGTGCCTGCCTCCTGAGGCCTTGAGCTGGGTGACGCCTTCTTCTTCTTGGGGTCTACCTCGGGAAGGTTCCCACTCCGACTGTCCGGGTCTTCGACTGATGCGGCTTGGAAGGCACGCTCGAGAGAGCACACCGCGTCCTTATCTTCATAGGGGACTGTGATGACTCCGCCGCTTCCCGGCATCTTGAGGACATTGTAACCATGGTGAGTCACTGCCATGAACTTGGCCAGTGCTGGATACCCGAGGATGGC